CATGTAAGCTCTAGAGCCGTATTACAATGCTTTACATAGGCGGACAGGATCTCAACATAGAGGATCGACTAGACACTACAGGATGGGGGTAGGACGATGACATTTCTAAGAAGATAGGAAATTTGGACAAAGCGAGGTATAGATAAGGAGAACGATGGATAGACAGTGTTATTCATAAAGGTGATGATCTTATGCTTGAATACATTTCAGAGGAGACAGTGAGGCACAAGAGGATTGAGTGTAGATGTAAGACACGACACTGACTTTGAGAGTCAGTGACAATCGTGGAGGAGGATACGTGAGTGTTCATGTAGACGGTCAGATCGGATCGAAGTACATCACAATGACATCCAGTGGAGACGAGCTATTCACGAGACAGGTGACAAAGCGAGTGTGAAATAGTGGTGAGGGGAGATGTGTGGAGCATGATGGACGTTAAGCGGCTTCACAGCGGAGAGTGGGGGGGAGGGGAGCTTTGGGTCTAAAGTCGTTGGGAGGAGTACATGAGAGGGAGACAAGGGAGAAGTATGTGGAGTAAGAACATGATTATCACGACGACAGCGTGCGGACAGCGAGTGGTGAGTTGATAGAGAGTTATCTTGGTGCATACAACTAAGCAGACACACATCAGGTGGGGTTGAGATTAGATGTAATCGACGGATTCTACATGAGGAAAATCAGTAGTCAAAAATGAGAGAGACACAGAGGAGGGGACATCTGATACAGAAGACAGATGTTTGTCGTTACTGACAGTAAGGCTACCGCAGACAGGCTGGTGTAGAGGTACGTAGGATGATCTGGATGGCAGAGAATCTCTGCGTGGAGAAAGGTAAGAAGGATAGGTGTGGGGTCTAAAGTGAGCGAGAATATGCTGGGCAGCATGGTAATTAGCGTGGTACACACATATAGGATCAAGCATTATTCGGCTTACAACTAGTGCGCATCACAGAACATGATAAGGTCGAGTAGTGGTTAAGAGAACAGTTCATCGGAGGGTGAAAGTGTGACACAGATATTATGATTGTGAAATTATAAGTACAGAGGAGAGTTAGAGAGAGATACTACAGTTATAGTGGAGGGAGATGATGAATGAGTCAGACTATATTCACATCAAAGATGTTTGACAGTATAGAGAGAGATAGGTGTTTTGTGCGGTGATAGACATAGGTTTTTATTCTACATACACGTGAGTGCGGGACTACACATATACAGTTAGGTGCTAGTATGACAACACTCAAATACATGGGTTCAGAGCACAGTTAGATGTGCACAAGTAGATGACAGGTAGTCAGAGAGCAAAAGCTTCATGTATATAAGTAGTAGGTGAGAGTGGAGGGTTCAAACTAGGATGAGTGAGTGGTGGTATTGAGACAGTTACATTGTAATAATCACTCACTGTGAAGGAGAGAGTTCATGTGGTAAATGAAAGGGGATTTAGGGATTTAGGTAGTAAAGGGGGGATTAGGGTGAGATGGAAGTGTATTTGTTTTATAGTGAGGTAAGTGGAATGGAATAGGATAGATTGGTTGGGTAAGAGGATAGATGTTTATAGTATTGGATTAAGATGAGTTATAGGATTAGGGAGTGGTGGTAATTGTTTATAGGAAATGGAAATATAAAGGACTTGGGTGGGGGGTGGGGGGTGATTATTTTATATTGAGATGATAGAGTAAGATATAATGTAAAGTTAGGAGAATATATAATTAATGATGATAGAGAAGGGGTGTAAATGGGAGAGAAAAATAAGGTGGATTAAGGGAGGGTAAGTTTGATATATGTAGAGTGAATGGAATAGGGATAGGATATAGGGATATGGGGTGGTTGGAGGGGGGGAAAGAGTTAAGTTGATAGTGAGGAGAATAAGTAGTAAGTTAAAGTATTTTGTAATGTAGGGGGTAGCCTATGATTAGCTGGATGGTATTGTGATGGGTGAATAAGTGGTTGATTTTATGGGGATGTTGTTAAATTTAGAAGGTAGTTGTGGATGGATTGGGGTATGAGATATGGAGGAGTTAAGATTATTAGGAGATAATGGTTTATAGGGTATGGGGGATAATAATGGAATGTTGATTAGGGTTGGGGGTGTGTTAAGTTTAAGTGGTTGATTATTGGAGGGGGAGTGAGTAGTGGAGTGATTGGGGAGAGGTGAAGGGGTGGATTGAGGGGTTTGATAGTTATAATGAAGGGGGGGGTAGGTAAGAGTGGAGAGGAAGATAAGGGGTAGAGTAGAAAGATAAGGAGTGTGGGGAAATTGTTGGTAGGATTTTCTTATTAATGAGATGTGGTTGTGGTGTATGGATTGAGGGGAGGGGGAGTTATTAGTAAGAGGATGATAAAGTTATAAAGAAGAATTGAGTGGTGGAGGATATATAGGGGAGTGGTATATTTAGTAAAGAGGTATAAAGGGGAGTGGTTGGGTGGTAAAATTTTTTGTGATGGTAAATAAAGCTTAGATGTATTGAGATAAAGTGAGGTTGTATGTGGGATGGGTTTTTTTAATTAGGTGGGGGAATGTGGGAAGTTGGAGGGGTTAGTGAGTTAAAGAGGATGGAAGAAGTATTAAAAAGAGATTGGTTAAGGAGAATTGGGTGTTATGATTATAAGAAGGAGATGTGGGTATGATTGGGGTAATGGAGTTTGATTAGGAGAGTGATTTGATAGTTTAATTGGATGTTTTGTTTATTAGATGTTGGGGGGAATTAGAAGGGGATAATGGGTTATGATTATTGTATATGAGATTTGAAATGAGAGTGGAGAAGTGGAAAAAAATGTATATAAGATGATTGGTGTGTGAGTTAGAGATAGTAGGGATGTTTGAAGGTTGTAATTAATGAGTATATGGTTATGGTGGTTGTTTAAGATATTTGTAGTTGTTGTGGGGGGGGGAGGTTAAGTGGTTAAGGAATAGGGGGAGTGAGACTGGGATGAAGAGAATAATGTTTTGTTGTGTGGAGGCTGCGTGAGGCTGATGTGCTGGGAGGGTTTGAGGCTATCGGAGGGGTGGATCGGAGTAGTAAGGTTGTTGGGCAGAGGGGAGGCGTGTATTATGGGGTCGGGGCTAATTGTAAATAAGGGGGGTTGCCTCGGACATTGATCGGGGGTGAATATTCGAGGGTATACTAGGGTAAGGGATTTGGACGTTAGGGTTGGATCAAAAGATTGTGGTTGATATATATAGCACGCAGGTAAAGATTTGTTAGGTTAATACAATGGAAGAAGTAGCATAAAGGGTGATGTAATGGAATAGTATAAATTTAAGTTGCAGGTAAGTCGAATAAGCAATCAGAGTTGTGTGTGGTAGATTGGAACTTTATGTATTTGCACAATAGCATTAGGTAATGCGCTGAAGTTATGTTATAGAATAATAGTTAGGGGAAATTGGTTGAGTATGAAGAGTGGTCGAGTATCAATCATAGGCAGTTTATAGTAAGAATAGAGGTTATACGGTAAACGTGACGCGGAATTTCTGATGCAGGACGGGACAGCGCGTCCCTGTGTGAGCTAGCGTGTGGTGAGCATAGGGGACGGTAGAGATTCCAACAGAACCTTTATGCGCCTAGATGGGGTT